AGGAGAGCTTTCTAACCATAGCGTTACCAGTTGGTCTACAATCATGAATATGAATCCCATGAATGATAATGTTAGTCACGAACTGAATCGTGATACATGCACCATTAGCTATGTGAACATTCACACCACGACCATCGATTGTTTTGAAACTGTTCATGATTAGTTCTTCTTTTAATGTTATGACCATGTCACGTTTAAAGACAATCCATAGTGGTTCTTCTTGAATTACTGCGTGACGTAATGTTCCCGGTTTAGGGTTAACCGGGTTATCGTCGTTTGGGTCGTTTACGACGTAGTAACGACCGTCTCGGCCACCGATTGCGTTGCGACCGAATCCAATTGCGCAATTGGCTAAAGCTTTTCGCCGAGATTGCCATCTCCGATCACAACGCCAACAGTCGTCGATTGGATTTCCGGTTGAGCATGAGAAGTAACCTAATCTTCTTCGTTCTGTGCTGTTTCGAATGCTCCTGAACCATTCAAAACCGGTTTAGTCGAACCAAATTAGATTAACATGATCACTAAGCTAAATTGAAGTATGACATAATCACTAAATAAACCGAAATCAAAGGAATTTGGTGGACCACTATTAATGTGTGTCATTTGACAAATTATTTGGCTATTTGCGTCGGTGGGATTATTCTAATGCTTCTGATTTACGCATTGTAAAAAAAAAAACTTGAATTTTTTAATTTTTATTTTGTAAAAATTCTTGCTTTTTGTTACGCAAATTACTCCTATTTAATCAAGAATCCTATGATTTTTAAAAGCCAAAAAGAAAAAAACACTGCTAAAATTTCTTAGAAATGACGCTAGAATAGTGGTATATGTTTTGAGTAATAATAATCCAGAATACTATTCCTTTAATCATATAGTATATCATAACATTGAAACTTCCATCCTTCATAAATAAATAAAAAACCCATTGAAACATCTTTTAATATTTGTGGTATATATAATTACTAAGTTTTAAGTTTCACAAAACCGGTTCTAACTTCTAAGGTCTCTATGCACAATAAATTACAAAAACAAATCTAGTATAGTATTATTAGAGTTCACAATATAAAACTTTGTAAATAAACTTTTTTTAACATGTGCCAAAGATATCTTTAAAGTACTATTGTTAATTTGTTATTAGTAATAAAACGAGATAAGACTAAAGATAGTCAGTGAAAGCATTCAGAGAACAACACTACACGAGGCAGATGCATGGGGCTGATGGCAATTCACTGTTTTAAAGATTAGGTGTTGGAACATTTACACATGTTTCTCTTTAAAAACAAAAACAAGAACATTACACGTGTTTTTGGACCAATGTCTACAATAACTCCATAAGATTTTTGCAAGCAACTAATATTTAATGTTTACAAAAATATTTGTTCATCTATATGATTTGGGTGCATTGCATTAAATGAAGAATGCCATCCAAATCCTACTCAACTAAATGAACCATGTTATGCATCATGTTTCATGTCTGGTCCACCCATAACTCTAAAACCCCTCAGTAAGAATAAGCATAAAAAACTTATTTCATTTTTCATTTTTGTATATATGTATGTAGATTTTGTTCCTCCGTTTTGAGATTTCTAAACAGTTATATTTTACCGGTTGAAAAAAACAATGAAATGTTTTATTTTGCTAAAAATGTAAACAACATTATAAAATGAAAAATTTAGGTTTTATTAAATGATTACAAATTGTTTAAACCCATTGATTGGTCTCATGCCAAAAAAGAAGTTAAGAACATGGAAACCAAAACAAAGCGAAATTCAGTACATGGACAAACGAGCTCTAAAGCTTAAGGTATCAAGATGTAGTGATAACATATTTAGTTTTTCGTTTTGAATTGATAATGTGAAAACATAATATATATTTATATATATATATATATATATATATATATCCAATCTTTCAAAATAAAAATTTATATCTTTTCTTTTTTTACAGCAAATTAAAAATTCTAATAATCAAAAGATTTTCTCATTGGAAAAGTCATTAACCAAGAAAATACTTTATAGCTTAAAACGGTTATAATTTGCATAAAAGAGAAAATATTTATAACATATAGGGAAAAAAGTAGGAAATAAATACAACAAAAAAAAAAACAAAAGTAGGAAAGAAATGGAATC